TTTTTTTTTTTTGTCACTCTCTTGCAATATTTGTTCTTTTTTTTTTGTTTTTTATTGCTAACAAAAACTCTTGTAATTCATTTTGCAACTTTAAACGATTTACTGCTATAACAACAACATACGAAAATGTATTAGCAAGTGAAAAAAAGAACACAAATTTTAAAATAAACTTTATAAAAATAGCTGTTTTTTTAGGTTGTATTGTTCAGCACGCACTTTTCAACCTCAATCAGTATTTGGTGTTGGCTTTTACTGTCTACACTTCGTTACCTTTCAATACATCATCCATTTTTGTATATTCGTATATGGTATTTACCACTTCGAATGTTATCTGTTGTTGTTGTTGTTGGATTTTTGACAAATCTATGGCTTCTGTTTGGTATCGACTACGGCGTTAAGGTAATGAAATTGCCGTGTGAAACTTGACAAACAATTCAGAGTGAAACAGATAACAATTTTATTTCACATTTATCCAATAACTGTCTTCGACTTTTTTCTGAAAAATATTTGTTTTTTAACAATTCAAAAAAGAAGTATTTTAATATACATTATTAATATTATTGTTTAAGTTTTAAAGTTTTGTGTTGCAGGACAAAAGCTGTATAGCTGAAGACTTCTTTAGCACATCAGTTGTCAAGCAAACATTTCTGCTGATTGAAATGAGTTGGTCCTTCTGTATTCCATCTGCCATCATCATTTTTGCTGACGCATCAGCATTATGGTGTTGGATTAAGCTGACAAAAATTGAAAAAAATTCAAGAGCTTATATGGGAGATTTGAGAAGGAACTGCTCCTCAAGAAGTAAGACGGTAAGTATACGCTTACAAATCTGGCAAAAAAAGTATATTGTGTTTTCGTTTTGCATCAACAATTGGCTATTTCCACTATGATTGTCCCGGGTAAACTGAATCAACCAAAAATACTTAGAAGAATATATTTAGATTTCTAAACGATCTGTGTGGAGATGGCTTTTTTTGGCACTTGTAGACGTCGTTCTTAACGCTCCAGAAAACATTTTTCGTTTTTGTACAATAGTTGGTATTATTGATGAAACGAATTCTGATACACTAACTTACTATATGCTCAGGGTATTTTCCCAGGTCAATTTTTTTACTCTTTATCATTCTTGTTCTTTGGCACCAGATTAATTAGCATCATCTTATCCTAGTTAATACTGGTCTTGCCTTATGCGAAAGAAGAAAGTTGCACTTTTCACCCAAATTTCAACTTTATGCTCCTAAAAAGAAGGCATGCTTCAAGCAGCAGCCAACAAAAAAGATGCACAGTATGAAACACGTTAAAATTTTACCATTAGTTTAGTGTTAACAGTTGGAAGATTTTTTACTGACATCCATTTAGCCTGTAAAGTTTTTTTAGCTTTTTGATGTTATCCATTTTTGAGTTCTTCTGACGCTAATTGTGATACTGTTGTAGTACTTTTAAAATTTATTTGAAATACCACTATCGTAGTCCTTTAATGTTTAATCTCAACTTTACCAAACCAACTCGTTTTACAGGTGTTATATTATTCACAGTTTGGATTTAATTGTGTCTATTTGGCATTGTTTATTTATGACAAAAGCACTAAACCGGCAGAAAAGTGTAACACTAGCTGCTATAATGCAGTAAAACATACTGGTCGAGAGCACTCATCAGCAATTGACTTTCCTCTTTTAAGTGTCGACTGTGGTAAGCAACTTATAATCTTTTTCTCCTTATTGTCCTTTCTGTTCTTATATACTTAAAAGTCGAAATAAAAAAAAAAAATAAAGAAAAAAGAGGCAAATGAGTAAAGGGTGCAAAAGAGGCTTACTTAAAAGACCACACGTATAATTCTTTTTTGGTAACTGATTTGTTTTCTGCGTTTTGCAGCCTTTTTACCCAAGATAAGTTGAAAAAAAAAACAAGAAACAATTTTAAAAAAATAAAAACTATAACTCTGAATAAAATTTAAAAGAAAGGACTAAAATGTAACAAACGCGACTTCGTTGAGACATTGAGCTATGAAATAACTGCTGACGTAATCCTTTATTTTAACCAAGCAATTGAAGACAAAAAGAAAAAAAAAAAGATGACGTTTCTTTGTTGGGAAATAAAATAAGGACCCAAAATAGCTCAAAAGCAAGCATTTGGCAGTAGCACAGCTTTCGACTCTCCCTTTTTATTTTATATTATTTTTTTTTTTAATGAATATAACTTGTTTATAGTTGGTCACCAATTTTCTTCTATTTCAGCTCGAAAATCAAATCGCTCACTACTCGTTCCTGACTCTTTTGGAACTAATGTAGGTAAAATATAAGAAGCACACAATTCCCTTAACTGTTACAGATTTCTCCACATATCGTCACTATACAAAAAATTTATTTTTGTAATTTTAAGCATTAGAAAATTGCCCTTTTTCTTTTCTAAAGGAACTTTTCACTGTTGTTTAAGTGCTCCGTAATCTGTGACTACCTTTCACAAGTCCCCGTTATCACTTCAGTTTTGCAGTGCGATACAGTCGCCTTCAATTTGGTGTGAAATTTTTTGCTAGCAAAACCTTTAAATTATAGCTAAATTTCAGCAGCTTTGGCGCAGTGCCACTGTGTATTAAGGAGACGTCCGGTGATGATTCGGATAAACTCCGTAAAAGTATGCTAAACTTCTAAGTGGCTTGTGTAAATGACGTAGCAGCTTTTGTATATTGTTCGTTTGTTAAGGTGTTATTCTGTTTGTTTTCACAATTTCATGACTTAATTTCCATTTTCAGCCGAGATATTAGGCAAAATGTGAGAGTAATTTCAATTTATTACACATACTTTTTAACAGTTTTACTGCAATAACTTTGTTAAATGTCCATCTACCTTGGTTCTTTTCTTGTTTATTGTAATCTATATTCAAAGTACTTTGAGAAAGTATAAAAAGGAAAAAAAATCTAATCCGTGGAAATTGAGAAAGGTGGTCTTGAATGGCACGATAAAAAAATGCAGTTGCTTAGTGGCTAAGAAAACTTTAAAAAATACTAGTAAAAAGTAACAAATACTGAACTAAAACTGGAAGTAACGATGAGGAGAAAAAGTAAAAATATATTCTATGTCTAATTAGTTTATACAAAAAGGAAAAGAAGAAGACTGAAAGGATTAAGATTCCTACAGCTAGAAAGAAAAAAATAAAGCGAATGGAGGGGCCGTAATGTGGTGTTTCTTGGCAGAACTGTATAACCCGGCTTGTCGCCTGTCAGACAACCACGACAATGAAAGATATCGGGTGTCAGAAGACTCCACTAACCAAATAATAAGTTCTCATTCAAGTAACAGGGTTTTCTTAAGCAATTTCTTTTTTTTTTCAAATGATTAAATTCTTTCTTTATTGAGTAATAGGTTTTTTTAAAGTAAAAAGTTTCTTCAAAAAAGCATTCCGAAGTTACAAAGTTTTTAGTTTTAGACAATCCCTTAGTTATTGGATTCTTTTCACACCCAAAACTTTGTGACTTTGGGATGCTGTTTTTTTTCTTACAGAAAAGAAATTTATAACTTAAAAAAAAGAAACCTATTACTTAAAAAAGAAAGATTTAACAATCTGAAAAAAAG